CGGTGCGGGAAGGATTTCGCTATCGAGCTTCCAAAAAAAACATACAAAAACACAGGGTTTCGCAACACAGAGTTGCTAAAAAACTTCCGCGAAAGCTCTTGCGACATCTTAAGAAAACCATAGGTTTTTCACGATTTACATAAAATGCTTCCAAACGGGCTTCGCGCGCGCTCATGTCGAAATCTGTCGAACGCCCTTGCGCGCGTGCCGTCGCGAGAATCCCCTGCAAAAAACGGGACGAAGTGCAGACGCGCGCGTCGCCGCGCGCGTACGCCGAAAACCTTCAAAACCCATCGGTTTCGGAAGAATTTCAAAATCGTGTCCAAAAAAAAATTACAAAAACACCAGGTTTCGCAACACGGATGTTCAACAAAAGCGTGCGCGCGCGCTCTTGCGTCGTCGTCGTCGTCGCCGTCCTCCCTCCTCCCGCGTCGTTGTCGTCGTCGTCGTCGCCTACGTCGTCCTCTGTCTTTCCTCGTGTTCGTCGTCGTCGTCCTCTTGGGCGTCGTGGTCGTTTCCGTCGTCGTTGTCGCCGTGGTCGTCCTTCCTCCTCCTCCCTCGTCGTCGTCGTCGTCCGTCGTCGGCGTCTCGTCGTCGTCCCTCCTATTTCGTCGCCGTCGTCGTCGTCGTCGTCGTTGTCGTCGTCGTCGTCTTCCCTCCTCCCTCGTCGTTGCCGTCGTCGGCGTCGCCGTCCTTCATCCTTCTTCGTCGTTCGCGTCGTCGCCGTCCTCCCTCCTCCCTCGTCGTTGTCGTCGTTGTCGCCGTCGTCGTCCTCCCTCCTTCCTCGTTGTCTTCGTTGGCGACGTCGTCGTCGTCTTCGTCGTCGTCGTCGGCGTCGTTGTCGTCTTCGTCGTCGTCGTCGTCGGCGTCGTCGTCGCCACCGTCGTCGTCGTCGTCGTCGTCGTCGTCGTCGGCGTCGTTGACGTCGTCGTCGTCGTCGTCGTCGGTGTCGTCGTTATCGTCGTCGTCGGCGTCGTCATCGTCGTCGTCGTTGTCATCGTCGTCGTCGTCGTCGTCGTTGTCGTCGTCGTCGTCGTCGGTGTCGTCGTCGTCGTCGTTGTCGGCGTCGTCGAAGTCGTTGGAGACGTCGTCGGTGTCGTCGTAGTCGTTGTCGGCGGCGTCGTCATCGTCGTTGTCGCTGTCGTCGTCGGCGCCGCTGTTGTTGCCAACTGCCATGTGGTACCCACCGTCACGGTCTTAAGAGATTTTGCAAACCAAGTTGCGGGTGGGTGGGTGGGATGTTTGCGCGAGCAGTGGAGTGTACAACTCACTGCGAACAGAAATTAATTGCACAACGTAGATTGCACCACACAAGGTGCATCGCATCGAAGGCACCATTTATACACCTTGTTTCAAAAGGAACCAAGACCCCCCCCAAAAAAAAAACACTCCTTGGTTCGCTTCGCGCGGCCTCGCGACGTGCAGCTTGCGTACGTTTCTGCCGACCGCTCGTTCTAAATATGAACTCAACACATCCCAGGTGAAACGGGCACGCCCCCCCCCCTCATCCCTTGCGAAAAAAGCGCGGTGCGCACACTATCGTGTATCAAAAGTCAGATCCCCAACACATTTAAGATCGCGTGACGAAGTGCACACGCGGGCGTCGTCGCGCACGCATGCGGAATCCTTCAACAACCATGGGTCCCGCAAGCCTTTCCAGAATTTGGCGGCCCGAAATCATGTACACCACGTGCGGTGTTGCACCATCTATAATATAGAAACACAGCGCGCACACTCTTGCGACTTCTTGTTTTTTTTACCACAAGGAAAAACACCAACTTCCAACATTCTCAATCAAATGAGAAGACATGGGCCTATCGCGCGCGCGTGTCGGCAACATTCGAACGCCTTTGCGCGCGTGCTGGGGGGGGAGACGATCCTTCCCAGATAAAAACATGCGGGCCGCTCGCGCCCGTCGGCCGCGCACGCATGTCGGAATCCTTCTGGTGCCTTCATCACCGACACGTGGACACAATCATCGTCATCGGCGTGACCACCAACGGCGCCGTCATTGCCCTTGCCGTCGACATCACCATCGTCGCCACCGGCATCGCTATCATCATCATCGTGTCTGCCGCTGACGTCGCTATGATGCCGCGCCCGCCAGGATCACCGACTCGCACTGGAGTGCCCGCGCGTCAGCGCGGTCTGTGGGGCTCGCTGGAAGCCCCCAGCGGTCAGCGCCACCGCGACCACGCCAGTCTCGCCAGACTAGCTGGCCGCTCTGCGCGCGAGCCTGCGCGCGCTAGCGCGGCCACAGCGATGCGCCAGCCTGCGCCAAGCAGTCATCGCAATCGCCACCGCGTGGGTTTTACAAGCCAAGTTGCGGATGGGCGGGTATGATGATTGCGCGAGCAATGGAGTTGACAATTCACGGCGAACAAAAACGATGCTTCTTCCCCAAAAAAAATACAGATAACAAAAAAAGTTGGGACCTGCCGCGCTCCCGAGGCCGGACTTAACGGCCCCCCCTGGTGCAGTTTACATTTGACTCTGCCCCATCGTTCATTCTAAATGTGAGTTCGTACACTCCCAGCAACGATGGGTTCGACCTCCCTCCCGCATACTTGTCAAAGCACGAGCGCGCGCACTCGTTTAACAACAATCACCAGTTTGCAAGAATCAATATCAGCCAGCGTTGACTCCAAATAGATAGGAAGACAGGAGGAGGACGAGAGGAGGATGGGAGGAGGACGGGAGCAGGACGGGAGGAGACCGGGAGGAGCAACATTAAGCAAGCGCAACAAGCAAGCGGAAGCAAGCAAGCAAGCGCAAGCGAGCAATAACAAGGAAGCAAGAGCCAACCATCAAGTGCAAGCAAGCAAGGGCAAGCAAGAACAAGCAAGCGAGAGCAAGCACGCAAGAGCAAGCAAGCAGGTGCCATTGGAAAAAGGGGGGTCACCATTGGAAAAACGGGAAGGTGAGGTGTCATTGGAAAAAAGGGGGAGTGGTGTGCTAAAGACCAATTAGTTATGATGAACTAAGGCTCCTATAGGGCAGGCCTCTTTGGATAATTTCAAAAAACTGGACGAAGTGCACGCGCGCGCGTCGTCGCGCGCGCATGCCGGAATCCATCAGCATCCTGGGTTTCGTAATGATTTTGATATATATATATATATATATATGTGTGTGTGTCTAGGCCACTTTGCGTTGCAACGTGATTCTTTCAAACAAATCTGCGCGCGCCTTTCAGAAATCTTGGGGGAACCTTCGGCTTCTCGACATGTTGATCAAGTGCGACCAAAGGGGCGCCTCGCCGCGGCATGGGTTTTGCAAACCAGGGAGCGGGTGGGTGGGTGAAACGATTGCTCGAACAGTGAAGCTGGCAACCTCAAGTTCGGCAGGGTGAGTTGCACCACGCAGACTGCACCACATAGGTTACACCACGTATACTGCACAACGCAGATAGCTAGAAACACACTGTTTGGGATCCACGGTGGCTAACACGCAATGCATCTGAATAGTACAGTTAAAATTTGTATGTCTGTACTTGTAGGCGTCCTACATGGGGTCGGAGTAGACGGGGTCGGAATATCGCCGATACATCGCCGATACATCGGCGATACATCGGCGATATATTGGTGATGCATCGGCGATGCACTGGCGATGCATCGTCGACGTCGACGTGAAGCAAATCGGGCTGCACACCGAATCGCATCTCCATCGGCGATGCGGCGCGATCCTCCGACCCCGCCGACCCCGAACCCATCTGGGAGGCCTACATGTATTCCTTACGCCGCGCTTGACAGGGAAACGGGTCCCTTCCCTCTTTCCCTTCGACCGCTTCTCCTCGCCCCCCTCCGCCTCCGCCCCCCCGCCCCCCCGCCGCCGAGAGGCCTGCAAGAGGGCACGGACGACGGCCTCGTGGCCCCCGAATGCCGCCGCGTACACTGGCGTCCAGCCCTCAGGGTCTGCCTGGTCGATGCCGTCACCGCCGCCGCCGCTGCTGTCGTCGTCGGGCCGCCGCGGGACGAAATATTTATAGATATACACATATTAATTTAAAGAAGAAGAGATAAGGAGAGGGGGAGAGAGAGAGAGAGATAGAGAGTGGGGGGGGCTGAGATAAGAGGAGTAGGAGGCGGAGGAGGAGGAGGATAAGGAAGAGGAGGAGGAAGAGGAGGTGAAGCAGAAGAAAAAAGAATACGAGGGCATTGAAGAGGAGTTGGGAAACGAGAAGGGCCATGAGGCAACGCCCAGATCCCAGGCAATGCCAAAGGGGGTCGTCCCTAAAGGAAGGCGACCCCTCAGAACCACGAGAGCGCTCCAGGGACCCCCCCCAAACTTTCAAACTCATGCAGTATCTCCTCCGCCCACCCCTGATCCTGGAACCTCGGTCCTCGAGAGGAGCAATGGACCTCCTTGGTGGTAGCACCCCTTGGTATTGCCTGAGGACCTGAGGAGTCGCCGTCCCCAGAGATCCGATGCCTTGTTCGTGCCTGGACAGAACACCTGGGCGACACAACCCGAAGGGAGGTGCCCAAGGTGCCTGCGTGAATTCACATGCAGTCAGACCTCGCAACCTGGACGGCAGCACAGACGCGCCCCAGGCGTCACATCTGCACCGCCGTTGCTGGGTGCCTCGAAATGCCACCCGCGGGAGTTTCTAGGGCACTTCACTTCGCGCATCGCGCCCCGCGGTGCGCGATTCTCTTCGCACCCTCGAGGCCCCCGCGCCGCCCCCACTGGAGAAGGGCAGCCCCTCGGGCCCGGATCGCGACGCGCGACATGCGATGATCCTCGCGCCCCCGCGGGTGACCTGGAAGTTCTGGCCCTTTCCTCGCGACTTCGGTTGACCCAAAAGGGGGTCCACCTGGAAGGGATTGGTGCAATAGATGTGGGGCGATAGTATGGTAAAAGTATTGCGCCAGAGAAGCGTACTGCATTGTATTTTGGCGAATGCATTGCACGCGAAAATCCAGCAATGCATTTGCGAACCATATTGTATTTGTTGCTCGCCCGAAATCTATTGCGACCCCGCAAATCTATTGCACCAAGCCTGTTGCCCCACCCCCGTTCGGCTGGACCCCCCTTTGGGTCAACCAGCAAGACTCGCCTCTCATCCCGAATCGTTGTTTGACGGTCCTGGGGCCTGGTGGGGGCCCCCAGAGGCTGAAAAATAGAAACAACTTCCCATTAAATTTGTTCAACGTTCTAGGGGGTCGCCGACGTCGACGCCAAGCCACTCTGAGGTCTGCCTGGTCGACGCCGCCGCCGCCGTCGTCGTCGTCGTCCTCGGCGGCGGCGGCGACGGCGGTGTCGGCGTCTGCGTCGGCGTCGTCGTCGGTGGCTTCAGCGGCGGCGTCGTCGTCGCGTCGGCGTCGGCCGCGGCGTCGTCGTCGGCGGCGTCGGCGTCGGCGTCAGTGTCGCCAGCGTCAGCGTCGTCGGCGTCAGCGTCAGCGTCAGCGTCGTCAGCGTCAGCGTCGTCGGCATCGTCGACGTCGTCGTCGTCGTCGTCGTCGTCCTCTTCGGTGGCTTCAGAGTCGGCGTCGTCGCTGTCTTCGCCATCGTCGCTGTTGGCGTCGTCGTTGTCCCCGCCACCGTCGTCGCCACTTCGTCGTCGATCGTCGGTCCGCCTGGTCCACGTCGGCGCCGCGCCCGCAGAGCATCCGCACGACGGGCGCGTGCCCACCGAAGGCCGCGGCCAGCAGCGGGGTGACCCCCTCGCCGTTCGCGGCGAGGGGGTCGGCGCCCCTGCAGCGGGAAGGCGGCCGCAAGAGCGCGGGCAGAGAGCGTGGGCCCCTTCGCTCAAAGGCCCAGTGCGCAGTGGAGGTGCCCCAAGCCAAGAAGATTCCAGGGAGGGGATGCCCCAGACCAAGAACATCCCAGGGTGACCACGAGAACGTCGGCAGAGAGCGTGAGCGCCTTCGCCAAAAGGCCCAATGCCCACTGGAGATACCCCTAAACCAAGAAACAACCTTTGAGCGACGAAGAGAAGCGGGCCTTACGCGAGATGGCACAGCGCCCCCTGGCTTACACGGGCCGCCATGGCGGCACAGCACGTCAACAATGAGGACGCTTACGCGCCATCTTTCTCGGATAACTTACGCGCGAACGTCCGCGCCATCGAGCCCTTTCTATCCCGTTGCTCATCTGAGAGTGGATGGGACTAAACGCGAAGATCAGAAGGGTACCCTGCCAACGCTAGGATTGTTCGCAACCCTCGTGGCCGCTGTGTTGGCGGCGCGCAAATGACCCAGACATCCGACGTCTTGCACAGCATTAAGACGTTGGAAGTCTGGACGGAGCAAGGGGGCCGGGCGTTTTCGAACGCTTCCGTATGTGATCGAGGATGACGTCACCTTGGGCTGCTTTTCAACAGCGGCGACTCGTCGAGAGGGTTCCTCCTGTGAGAAGGGAATCAGAACTTCCGGGAACCGTGTGTTGAAACAGTCGGATCTCTGGGATTGACGGCAATGTCGTCGTCGTTTTCGTCGTCGTCGACGGTCGGGGATTTGGAGCGTACTGGGGGAGCTTGTGAGTTTAGGTCGGCACCCCAGCCCCAGAGGCCCGAGGATCGAGGATCTGGGCTCTAGACGCTCTTCGCTCATCGGGGACTCGGGGGTCTGTGCCACAGCGCAACCCAGGAGAGGCGCGGGGGTCGACTACGAAGCCCGAAGCCCAGATGCCCCCAACAACATCGGCGGCTTTTTTCTGTTTTTGTGTTTGCCGTGTTCAACCTGCTATGGGGACCGTCAGCGGGCCAACGGAGCGTGACAAAAACGGCTCGAGCTGAAAAACAAGCGTCGGCGCTGCAAAGACGCAGCCCTGAGAGACGGGGGCCTGGGGCGCGGATGCCCTGGGCAATGCGCATTTAATTTGGGGCCCATCGCTCAGGGCCCCATCGTCGAACCACCGAACGCGGTCCCGAGGAAGGGGTCGACACCTCTGGGAGTCCACGTTGGAACACTGGGACGGGGTCGACACCCCTGGGGGTCCACGTTGTGATTCGAATCACGACGTCGGAGATCTGAGGCGGCGCTAACGGGGCGACACCTTCTGACAAGGTAGGGGGCCTCCCTCAGAAGGGCTCGGCGACTTCTGAGTACAGCGCGAAAGGATCACGAGGATACGCGGTAATGATACGAGGCAATTGGACGTCTGGGATTCTGGCACTTGCAAAGCGGGGCCTCCCCAAATGTCCCGGCTTATCATCCCGAGACGTTTTTGAACGGTCCCGGGGACCAGCGAAGGCCCCAAGAGGCCGGAAACGACCAAGACCTCCATCTCTGTTGCAAAATTGAACCCGGCGCGATCCCAATCAGGGGAAAACTTCCTATTGCATCACTTGGCATTGCTTGGCATTGCTTGTCATTGTTAAGAATAGTTGGCACCGGGGCCGGGGAACCCGAGAAACCCGGGATACTCAGAGAACCTCTGGTACACGGGCAACGTATGTAACAGGAGGAGGCACTGGGGGCGGGGGACTCGAGGAGCCCGAGGAACCTGAGCAACCAGAGGCACCTCCGAGGAACGGGCAAAGGAACAATAGAAGGCGCCAACCTTTACCCAAAAAAGAAACCCTCAGGCAAGCCTGATTGAGGGAAATAGGAGGCATCGGGGGCGGAGAACCCGAGGAGCCCGAGGAACCTCCGGGCAACGGACACCATAAGATTACGAGGCACCAACATGTAACCAAAGAGGAACCTCCGAGGAACGGGCAAGGTAACAATAGGAGGCACCAATCATTGACCAAGTAACAATTCCCTAAGCAACCCTAATTGGGAAAATAAGAGGCACTGGGGGCGGGGAACCCGAGAAACCCGAGCAACCCGAGGAACCTCCGGGCAACTGGCAAAGCAAGAATACGAGGCACCAACCTGTAACGAAGCAAGAATCCCTGAGGCAAGCCTCATTGGGGAAAATATGCCACCGCTGGATGTCTGGCGGGGGCCGCACATCAGCAGCCACGCGGCGTCGGATGTCTGGGCGCGGAGATGCGCAGATTACCGCGTCGCCGCGGCTGGACGCAGCACGAACCACCGGACAGGACGAGCCGCGGCGGCCGCGGGTTTCGCTGTGGAGGTGTCTGGGTGCGTCTGTCGGGGGCGCACAAACATGGATTAGCGATCCATGGATTTGGCGCGCGGTCATCAAATCCATGGATCGGGGGAAGTGCCCTCCCCAAAATGCGGCCAATGCCGCCTCGTCAGGCGGCGGAAACCCGCGATTTCCAATGGAAGCGGAGCCCGTCGCTAATCCGCGCCCCCTTGATCCATGTTTGCGATCGCCTCAGTCTGGGCGCTGCGGTCGCCACGCCGTAACTGGCGAGGACGGAACGTGGGCGTCCACGGCGGCAACAAAACCGAAAACCGAAAACCGACCGAACCGACAGCGAAACCGAAACCGGCCGAAGCGAAAGGCCGAGCGCAGCCCAGAAAGGACGCAGCAGCGCACCAACCGACCGAATTGAACTGACCGAATGGAGCCGACCGAACAGCGGACACTCATGTGGATCCTGGGAAGTCTCATGTGGATCCTGGGAAGTCTCCACAGGCTTTGGGCAGATTCTGGTCGGCGACATGACTTCAGGCGGGGGGAGGCGGCTTCTTGGAAGCGGCACGGCCACCATCCGAGAAGGCCCGTGAGACGTGAGAAAGAAAGCAAACTTATGTGGGACTGGGTGCCCTGTTCGCAACCCCATCGTCGTGTCTTTGTAAGAAGCGTAGACCTTCCAGACACCTCAATCCCCACACATACATACATACCTACCTACCTACCTACCTACCTACCTACATACATACATACATACATACATACACACACATACATACATACATACATACATACATACATACGCACACATACATACATACAAACAAACATGCATACAAACAAACAAACATACATACATACATACGTACGGACGTACATACATACATATATACACACATGCATGCATGCATGCATGCATGCATGCATACACACATACATACTTCTATATATACATAGGTATGTATATGCGTAGGTACCCATACCTTCATATATCTACATAGATATGTGTATATATAACTCAGGGTGTGAAGGCTTCTGAGTGCCTGGGCGCTTTGTAGAGGCTTCTGAACGCCTGGTCGCTGTGCAGGGGCTGCCGAGCGCCTGAGAGCTCTAAAGCCTCTGCGAAGCGAGAACAACAAGTGCTTGCGATGCACAGATACAACTTGTAATCCGAATGCATTGGCTAGAACGTAACCAACGATTCCTTAGGCACTCTCCGCCCTCCTGGGCACGCATGCTTACGCAACTGCACAAGCATACGGTTTTGCGATTGCCAGGCAATTGGGTGCGAGGACAATCGTGGCCTATGATGCAAAACGCACGATTTGGCATCCACGTGCGTTGGCTGGGTTTTTACGAACGAATTCTTGGCCACATTCCTGCCCTCCTCGGTACGCATGCTCCCGCGACTGCGAGAACATGCTGTCTTGCTATTACCAGACGATAAAGCGCGAGGACGAACATTGTTTACGATGCCAAAACAACACATTGGCATCCACAACTACCGGCCCGAATGCTACGATCGACTTCTTGGCCACGTTTCCGCCTTCCTGGGCGCGCATGCTCGCATTTGCGAAAACGGTTTTCGTGGTTGCCACACAATTCGGCGCAAAGACAAAAATGGTCGATGATATGGAAAAAACGGAATTTGAAATCCACATGCGTTGGCTGTAATCTAACCAACGAATTCGTTTCCACAGTCCTGCCCTCTTGGGTACGCATGCGACCGCGAATGCGGCAACATACGGTGTTGCTGCTGCCAAACAGTGAGGCGCGAGGACGATAGTTGCCTGTGAAGCCAAACGCACAACTTGAAATCCACATGTGTCGGCTAAGACGTTACCATCGATTTCCTGGCCACATTTCCGCCCTTCTGGGCACGCATGTTTCCGCAACGTATGAAATCACTATGTATTTCGCGATTGCCAGACGATGAGGCGCGATGACAAACATGGTTGATGATACAAAGAACAACCGTTTGCAATCCGCATGCGTTGGCTCGAAATTGACCATTGATTTCTTGGCCACATTTCCGCTGACCTGGGTGCGCATGCTTCCGCACATTCGAAAACGTACGGCTGCGTCGCTGCCAGGCGATGAGGAGCGAGGGAAAACTATGTCTACGAGGCAAACAACGAAACCCACATGTAGCTGCTAGAAGTTTACCAACTTCTTGGCCACATGTCCGCTCTCCTGGGAGCGCGCGTGTTCCTCTGCGTGCGAACGTTTACTGTTCTCTACGTCCAGAAGATGCAGGATTTTCCGGAAGAGGTTATGACCCCCCAACAAACGTAGATTTAAGGCATGGATGTAAAACAAACTTCAACCGCCCAGGCCAGCCTGTAGCGGGAGGACCTCTTATTGGATCCCAAATGGATTCCAATAGTTCTTTTTGGATACCACGAGGAATAACAATAGAACGCCAATCGGGGCACAAATTGAGCCAAAGAGAAGTGTTTGTTGAGTGTTGTTTTCTGATGGGATCCCAGTAGTATGCCCGTATGGATCGACAAGGAAGGATTCCGATTGGATTGCAATGCGATGCCCTTCTTATTCGCCCACACGGTTCTGATGGAATTCCAAGAAAGACGGTTCATACTGTTTTCGAACCAGATCCCATAATAATACCCACCGGGGTTCCAAATAGTACCCCCAGTGCGTTTCCCGCAGCATTCCAATAGGAAGGCTTCTCGATTGTAATCCAATGAGGTTCCCAATCGGTTTCCATTAAGAAGGGCCCCGGCAGGCTTCAATAGGAAGCATCCCTATCGAGTTCCAATCAGACACGCGTAGGCCCCATATCGAGGAATCTTGTTGGATACCAATGGATTCATCTGGTGCCAACAGGATCCCCGTAGGAAGGGTGCCAATAGGATTCCACTAGGATTCCTTTTGGATCCCATTAGGAATCCGCCACTTCACAGATTTTCGCTTCAGACGGGTCACTTTACAACCAACGTAAAGTGGCCTTCCTGGTTGTAACGTGCCCTTCTGGGAAAACCCATGCTGGTTGTAAAGTGCCCCGTCTGGTTGTAAAGTGGCCGCTTTGGTTGCAATGTGACCCACACGCGGGGGGAGGGGACCGGATACGTTTTGAAACACGAAGAGGCGCAATAAAATCTGGGGAGGTATCATGGCCCCCGCCATGATATCCACCCCCCTGGTCATCAGCCCCCTCTTGGCCGCCCCCGACTGTATCATCCTTCTCGGATTTCCCGGGTTTCCGAGAAAGGCCCCGCTCGTGCCAGCACAAGCGAGAGGCCAGAGAAAGGAGGGGGCGCCCTGAAAGGGCGCGCGCGGGCGAGCCTTGATGCGCAGGGCGCTGTCCTGGCCTCCCGATCCATCTCCCTCCTGGTCCCTCCTGCCTTACGAATCCCTCTCCCTGAAGCAAGATTCAACACTGGCCTTAGGTCGGGCATGTCCTTCTACAGGCGGAAATTGCACGAAAAATAAGACCTATAAAAAGCCCCAACATAGAAGAACAAATTATCAAACAATTGTCCCCAGCCTATTTCTGGACTATTTTCGAATGCTCCTCCTGTGGAGGGACACGCCCGACTGAACACTGGCCCTCGCGTGCCCTCCCTCCCTTCTTCTGCGAGGCGACCCCGCCTGGCCTGCCGCAGAGCTCTTCGGCCACGCGGAGGTCGCCCTGCGAGCAGGCCTCGAGCAGCGCCTTGGGGGGGGGAGGCGCCGAGACGGGGCCTGGAGTCGGAGTGGATGCCCTGGGCCTCAGACACGGAACCATTGGATAAGGACGCCAGGGTCCGAAAGCCGGTGGAACGCCACCTGAGGCTTGGTCATGGTGATCACTGCCGCCCTCGTCAGATAAGGAGTCGTCCAAAGTCCGAAGCCGCCTGGGCACATTCCTTAACGAACGCCCTCACCGTAGTAAAGACGGCATGTTTTCTGCATGTCCTGACTTCCGAAGCTGTTTTCGTGCCCTGGGGTAGTCAACAAAAGAACTTGGGAGGAAAAGCCCGCTCCGAGGAAGTGGCCGAGTCTCAGGGCCCACCTCTTGAACAAAAAGCAAGCCCTCGGCCTTTTCCCCTATGGGTTCTCGAAACGTGGATGGGTGCGTCCACATGGGGCTGGGGGGCGCATGTGGACCGTGCCACTGAGGCCTTCGGTGGAGCTCCCTATTGGGGCACGAAACGAGTGAGAGGTGTACCGAGATGGCCTCGAAATTGTTGGCATGCGGAGGGCAGTAGCAACAAGGATGTGAGGAGCACGGACTGGGAAGAGGGGGGAGGAGGAGGAGTGAGCGGGGAACGGGGGGCCAACTCCACAGGATGGTTGGGGAAAACACATCGCGTCGTGAATTCTCCACGACGAAACGATGTCAGGGTCCGGCCCCCTTTGGGCGCCCGGGTGCCTCGGTGTCCACCTCGTCGCTCCCCCTGGCGGCCCCGGAATCGCTCGAGGCGAGCGAGCACGCGTCGCCGAGCCCTCGGGACCCCGGGCCGGCGGCCCCGCCGCCCCCGCCGTCGCCCTGCGTCGGCCACCTTCCATCGGGTGCACGCGCAGATGGAGGGAAATCTGCATTCTGCGGGTTCGTGCCGTGACGACCCCGGCCTTGCTTTCTGACACCGCATGGATCGTTCAACCTTGAACTATCGACTGCATTCCAATCGACGGATCTGTTCATACTGGCCGATTCTGGGCCGCTGGCGGCATTCAATCTTGATCGCCCGCGGCGGGGTCGCCTCCGCGTCGACACGACACGGATCTACCGTAGGCATATAGTCGAGCTTGAGTGGAGAGGACACGCGAGAGGACTCGAGACCCTTCCGAGGGCCGAGTGCAGGAAGGACATGGGGCGCGAAGCGCAGGACAAAAAAGGTACCCTTGATGTGGAAGGGTGGACTTGCTATAATCAAACACGGCTTTAACAGCTGTCGGAGGTCTGCGCGGATGTATTGGACTGGCTCCCCTGGCGGCGCCTCCGGCGCGCCAGGGAGGGGGGGGTCCAGCCGCCCATCCAAGAAAGCCGCGCGGACCTCCGAATGTTCATGCGGGCAATACTTGTAACCATATCCAGTGCGTCTTGGACTTTCGTGGAAGGAGCGCCGCAAGGCCGAGGCGCAGTGGATATGGATAATAATATTGCCTTTTGGGGCCAGATTATAATCCATATCCAGTGCGCCTCATGTTTCTGGGGAAGGGGGCCCGACACTCCAAGACGCACTGGATGTGGATATAGACATTGTCCGCAGTTCATGCGAATGAGTTTCTCGGACGAGCGCCCGAGTGGCTCTGCAGCAACGAGCCGACCTCTGGTGCGCGACGGCCCGATAGCTGCATGCATGCAGTGCGGCAGCGGCGCCTGGCGTGCCCTGGTTCGGCCCCCCCTCCCCGCCCCGAAGGCCGCGCTCTGAGGAGGAGGAGGAGGAGGAGGAGGAGGAGGAGGAGGAGGAGGAAGAGGAGGAGAAGGAGAGAGGAGGAGAGAGGAGGAGAGAGGAGGAGGGGGAGGAGGAGGAGGAGGAGGAGGAGGAGGAGGAGGGGGGGGGGGGGAGGAGGAGAGAGGAGGAGAGAGAAGGGGAGAGGAGGAGGAGGAGGAGGAGGAGGAGGAGGAGGAGGAGGAGGAGGAGGAGGAGGAGGAGGAGGAGTCGCGTTCAGCCGACACCTCGACGGCGGCAGGACTCCTCCCGACCCCGCGCCCGACGAGACGCGCGACCACGGCGGCCCGGCGCCGAAGTCGGGCGTGCCCGGCGAGGTCGGCCTCCCGCCACCCTCTGTGCAGGAAGGCACCCGCGCACCAACACCGTGCCTGGCCCGCCAGGGCCGTCCTTCGGGGAACGAAGACTGACATGAACATGAAAACTCGGAGGTTCGCGCGGATTTCTCGGATCGGCGCTGGGGCCCCCTGGCGACGCCTCCGGCGCCGCCCTTGGCGCACTCCGCGCGCCAGGAAGGGAGGTCCAGCGCCGATCCGTGTAATCCGCGCGGACCTCCGATTTTTCATGTTTATGTCATTGTTCGTTCCCCTACTCCTGGGCGCTGGCATGGTGCGCACCCAGGCCTCCAACGTCTTGAACAAATATTATTAGTCTGGCGAAGGACCCAACGATCTGCAGCTGTGAAGGGCTCATTTGTGAGAATCGTCTTCGGTGGCGCTCCATATGGGGCCTCGAAGCGTGCGATGGGGCTGGGGAAACGCATGTGAACCCTGCCATTGGGGCCTGCGGTGGAGCTCCCTGTGGGACTACGAAGCGTGTGAGGGGTGTGCCGAAATTGCTTAGGGAGGCGCACGTGGAACCTGCCACTGGGGCCTTCGGTGGGACCCCCTATGTGGCCACGATACGTGTGAGGACTGTACCGAAATTACGCGAGGCGACGCATATGGAACCTGCAACTGGGGCCTGAGGTGAGCCTTCCTGTAGGACCACGGGACGTGTGAGAGGTGTGCCGAGATGGAGGGGGGGGGGCGCATGTAACTTCGCCACTGGGACCTTCGGTGGGGCGCCCTATAGAGGCACGAAACGTGTGGTGTGTGTGTGTGTGCCAAAACGGGGCGGGGGCGCGCATGCGGACCCTGCCATGGGGGCCTTCGGTGGAGCTCTCCGTATGGGGCCACTAAACGTGCAAAAGGTGTGCCGAAATGGAGCGGGGGGACGCATGTGACTGTGTCACTAGGGCCTTCGATGGAGCGCCCTATAGGGGCACGAAACGCGTGAGGGTGTGTCGGCATGGGGCGGCGGGGACGCATGTGGACTGTGCCACTGGAGCCTTCGGTGGAGCACGTGCGAGGGGTGTGCCGAAATCGGGCGGGGGATGGATATGGACTGTGTCCCTGGGGCATTCGGTGGAGTTCCCTATAGGGGCGTCGAAACGTGTGAGGGCTGTGCCGAAATGGGTGGCGGGGATGCATGTGGACATCGCCAGTGGGGCCTTCGGTGGAGTTCCCTATGGGGTCACGAAACGTATGAGGGGTGTGCTGAAATGGGGCAGGGGGGCGCATGTGGACTGTGCATCTGGGACCATCGGCGGAGCCCCTTAAGTAGGTACGAAACTTGTGAGAGTGCGCCGAAATGGGGCAAGGGAGCGCATGTGGACTGTGCCACTGGGGCTCTGAGGGGTGTGCCGAAATGGTGTCGACATTGCTGTGCGGAAGGCAGAGGCAGGGATGGGATGAGGGAGGGTAAGGAGGAGGAGTGAGTCGGAAACGCGGGGGGGATGTCTCTTCAAAACGAGGACTCAACACCGCAAGATGATTGGGAACAAGACGGGGCGCACATCTTGCACGGTGCGGGGATCCCTGGGGGCCCTCTCAGGGCCCCGGGGACTGTCAAGCTGCGGGGGCTGAAACAGCGGCATGGGGTTGGGACTTCTGGGTCGACCCCGAGTCGAAGCAACGATTTCGTGGCGGCAGAAGATCCTGAAACGAACAAGGGAGTAGCGCAAGAAAGAGACCACACGGGAGACCATGCGGGAGACCACATGGCAGACCATACCGGAGGTCATATGCTGTACTGTACACGCGCGGGACCATACGCATGGGCGACGATACGGGAGACCATATGTGAGACCAGACGGGGGGCCATGTGCTGTGCTGTGCACGCGGGAGACTGCATGTGGGAGACGACACGGGAGACCATATGGGAGGCCAGACGGGAGGCCACACGCTGTGGTGTGCACGCGGGAGACTGCATGTGGGAGACGATACGGGAGGCCAGGAGGGAGGCCGTGCGGGAGACCATTGCGGGAGGCCACGTGCCACCGAACAGCAACTGGGTTCGGAACGGGAGGACCTCACGCCTGGCCTTAGAAGAGATAGATAGAGCAGGAGCCCGACCGCAAGAAAAAACCCTGCCACACGACACCCAGCCCTGAGACCCCAGGACGTCCATTGTTTTTTAGTGTGGGAACGGTACGCTCTCTACAGCGAAAGCATCGAAACCCAACCCAAGAAACCCACGGCACCCTGGATGCACGCAGGGTGTTTCTCGGCATGGGTCTCTACTGTATCAAGGACCCTTACAGAAAACCATCGTTGGAAGCCCCGTGTTTAGCATAGAGAGAGGCCCCCCGGCCCCCAAGAGGCTCCACGAGGCCCCAGAATTCCTCCCCAGACAAGCCCCCGAGAGCCTTCCGAAGAGACCCTAAGAAACAGCACTGAGGACCCCAAGGAACAGCTCTGAGGACTCCGGCGCCAACGTCAGCGTCGTCGTCGTCGCCGCCGGCGCCGTTGTCGTCGTCGTCGTCTCCCTTCAGGGTCGGGAGACGGGAGACTAAACGAGAGAGCATGTGGGAGTCCGTGCAATCGCACGGGGGAACAATGTAGGAGACCATGCGGGAGGCAATACAGCAGACGGTACGGGAGACCAAACGAGAGACGGTACAGGAGGGAGAACGTAGGGAGAGTATGCGGCGGACCATGCGAGAAACCATCTGGAGAAGACCACGCTGGAGACCACACGGTCATTTACACGTGAGACAACATGCGGGGGGAGACCAATAGGGGAGATCATTCAGGACACGATGTGGGAGAGCACACGGGGAACCATGCTGGAGACCATACGGGAGAGGGGAGACCACCACACGGGAGACCTCCCTACCAGAGACCATACGGGAGACCACAGGCCACCGATTCCGCATCCAGACGGGCTCACACTGGACCTCAGAAGCAGTGCATGGAATGAAAGGCGTTTGCAAACTTCCGAGGGACTAGGTACACATACGTTGTCGGAGCTCCATGCGGATTTCTTGGATCGGCGCTGGGCCCCCCCTCCCTGGCGTGGGGAATCTGCCAGGGGCGGCGCCAGAGGCGCCGCCGCCAGGGGGAGTCCAACGCAGATCCATGAAATCTGCGCGGACCCTCAAACAGATATAGTCATGCACTATGCTCTTCCTCGGCGGCAACCCCTCGGGTACTCTATCTGCTCCACCCAGGTGCCCAGGATGGCCCTGGCCAGGCACTGGCGGCGTGGCACATGGTGCCCTTCTGCAGATCCTCCGTCGAGCTCGGCGTAGTGGCGCAGTCCTCCTTCAGGCTACATGCAAGAGGTGACCCTTCTGGCAAAGAGTGACCTTTGGTGCTTGACTTTCGGGGCCCGCGGGGGGCCAATCCCAGCGCGCAGCCTAGACACCCGGTGTCTTGATTCATTTCAATGAGAAGTCCTCCAGGGTCCCGACCCTTTCCCCATGACATTTCATCCAGCGTCGTGTTTTGACGGTCGCGGGCCCGTCGAGTGCACCCAGTGGCCGAAGACGTTTGAAAGCCGACCCCTCGTTTTTTCAAGACGCTGGACGTTTGAAAGCCAATGCTGGGGTGATCCCTCCCATACCTCCGACGTCGCGGATGTTCCTCAACATGTATCCCCGGAGGTTTAGGCCACTTCCCTGGGACCGGCTTATCATTCCGAGTCATTTTTGACGGTCTCGCGGGCGCGGGGCCCAGTGAGGGCCCGCGGGAGCCAACCAAGGCCAAACAGCTTCCGCGACGACTTTTCTCAGGACGCGAGGAGGTCTCTAGGCTGTGCAGCCCGCACCAATGAGGGGGAACGGTAAGG